TCGTAAACTATTTTCATAACAAAGATGTTCTACAATCATTCATATTTTAATAGAATTATTCTTAAACGACCTGAGTTCGTAGGGACACAGAAAATACTTGATTCCTGCAATTTTCATCCACCCAATAAATCAACCAAAAAGAGCTAAACTTTTAACCCATCCCTCACAATATTTGGATTTCTGCAGAAAACCTTCTTCAGGAAAACATCAACCGGTATGTCTTCTGATATGCTTGCCTTTGTGAATTATTCTTGAAGATACTTCTGGCTAATTTCTATATTTATAGCAGTGGCATTTACTTGTATACCACCCAATACTTATGTATTTGCATATTTAACACCCAAACTTTACTTTTTTACATTTATACCACCCAAAATTTTACTATCACATAAAAAAATACAACTATGTTAACTTTTAACAAATGAAATGCATCTTTTCATGCATTGGGAACGTGGCATTTTTGTAAAAATTTTTGTTTTAAGAGTTAAATATGTAAATACAGAAGAATTGAGTGGTATGTATGTAAATCTTCCTTTAAAGTACTATGCATCCAACTAATGGCTTTATTGCTATCATTTTCTCAAATTTTCACTAGCTAACTATTTTTGGGCCCTTCAGCTAGGGAGAAGGCTATGGTTATTAATTTGGAGTTCATAAAGGCTATTGTAACTGCCGAAGAAGTGCTTCTCTTGGATCCCCTCTGTCAAGAAGTTGTCCCTTTTGTCGAACAACTGAGACAACAAATCCGTCTCAACTCTCCGTCCAAAGTTCATGATCCCATCCATGACGATGTTCATTTTAAAGAAAATCCATCAACAGAAGAAAGATGGTTGCGCAACGAGAAAGACGAAGAGGAGCTTCCGTTTGAGTTTCAGGTGCTGGAGGTTGCATTAGAATTTGTCTGCTCCTTTTTAGATTCCAGTGTGTCTGATCTAGAACGAAATGCGTATCCTGTATTGGATGACTTGGCCATGAATGTCAGCACAAAGAACCTGGAACGAGTTCGTAGCTTAAAAAGCAACCTTACTCGTCTTCTCGCTCGCGTTCAAAAGGTTAGGGATGAAATTGAACATCTATTGGACGACAATGAAGATATGGCACAATTATATCTGACAAGGAAGCAGATCCAGAATCAGCAATTTGAAGCTCTGATGGCTTCTGCTGCTACAAACAGCATAGTTCTTGCGACGCCACACCGCTACAAACAGCATAGTTCTTGCGCCGCCACACCTGGCAAGACTAAATTCCAACGTCAGAGGCAGTGCGAGCTTTACCAGTTTCCCTTCAGAAGATAACAATGTGGAGGATTTGGAGATGTTGTTGGAGGCTTATTTCATGCAGCTGGAGGGCACCCGAAATAAAATACTTTCGGTATGTACTCATCATACTGTTTCTTTTTCATTCGATTGAAATTACATATTACATATTACATGTTAGACATTTCATATTTATGTTTTGGTCCCCCCCAACACACACAGGTTAGGGAGTACATCGACGACACGGAAGACTATGTGAACATTCAACTGGACAGCCATCGAAACGAATTGATTCAGCTGCAGCTGGTGATCGGCATCGCATCATTCGCGATTGCGATAAACACGTTGATAGCCGGTCTGTTTGCAATGAACATTCCATGCGAGTTGTATGAGATAAACCACATCTTCACCCCATTTGTGGCAGGAACATCAGCTGGCTCCTTCCTCATCTTCTTGCTTGTGCTGGCTTATGCGAGGTGGAAGAAGCTGCTTGGCTCCTAAGGTCCTTTTTGTAATTCTCTTCTTTTTTATCATTTTTTTTTTTTTTTTTTTTTGCTTCGGATGGGCCTAAATCAGGGTCTATTTTATGATTATTGTTGTTTTCACTGCTGAAACATTTGGGTCTGATTCAACTAAGAGATTAGGATGAACTAATAAGCTGCAGAGAGGATTGATTCATTAGCAGACAAAAATGCCTTTTTTTGTGGTTAATTTTACAGTTATTTTTAGTTTGATATATTTACATGCATACCACTCGATTCCTATGTATTCACATCTCTAGCTTCTAAACTTTAATTTTTTTATACATGTACCACTTTATCTTTGCATGAAAAGGTACATACAAAAGTTAAAATAGTGATAATTTTGATGTAAAATGAAAGATTTGGATTGTATTAACGTGAAAAAGTAAATTTTAGGTTTTAGATATGCAAATTTATAGAAATTAGGTGGTATGGATGTTAAGGCTCTTTTTTATTTTTTTAGAATAGATTTAATTTTCTCTCTTCTTTTTATAGGGTCTGTTTGGGGCAGCTTGTAAAATACGGCCCGCAGGATGACCGCAGGTGTCGACCTGCTGCCTGTGTTTAATGTAAAAAACTCAAACGCGGCAGGTTGCATTTTAAAAAACGCGAAAACTAAACGGTTAGGCGGCGTTTTCAAAAACGCC